TGTGGGTGCCCTTGGAGGTGGGACTATGTGTATTCTTTCAGGTGTGCAAATAGCAAAAGCCACTTTAAATTTAGTACCCAAACTAGTGGAACAAGAAGGTTCCTCCAAGCTGATTATGAATGAAGAATAATGTAGGAAAGGGGAGATACAAAGGAGATACTGTTGCAGGGCAGCCAAGGAAGGAAGAAGTGACAGTGACCTCTCTATTAAAAGGAGTTTGTTTATTTAAAATAAGGAAGGGATAATTGCAGAAAGGTGGTCATGGGTTTCAAAGTGCTTGTATAATTAGGACCTTTCTGGGAGAAGTGACTTCTAGCAGTTTGATAATGCTTTCTGAAACCTGTATTTGGAAATACTTCCCCAGGAGGCCGACAAGGCATTGTGTGTGATCTTTACTAGTCAGAAATTCTTCCACATTTCTCTCCCAGAGGTGAAGTCTTAGAGTTACGTGGCAGTTTTAGACTCTTATTTTGAGGCCTTTTGCTTCATCTGAAACTGAAATGCCCTTAGTTATAAATTAAAAAGACCAATAAGGTCTCTATAAAAGCATTGCAAAGGGTATAATTACATTCCCATCACTGTACAAAGGAGGCATTTATGAATGCTTTGTGGTTTGAGTGAGCTGCTATGCTTACCCTGTTCATGAACAGTTACATTATAGTACAGCTTTCAGTGTTGTTTTCTATTATTCTTATTCTTATTATTTTATTTATTTATTTTTAATGGCAAACTTCTGTTTCTGTAATTGTCTGTGCCTGTGAACAGTTGCAGGTAATGTCACAGTCTTTGGCTTAAAAGTCTACAACCTTCTGTCCTATTAAATCAGCAAAATATTTATCATTATCAACATGATTCCCCAATTAGCTTTTAATTAACTGTGCCATTGCTCTTCACTTTCTGGTGCTTGAGGCAGCACCAAGATCTGTTTCTGTTCTTGCAAATCCATTTGTTCTCCTTTGAGACTGCTCATCTTATCTCAGGCATGTCTCTGACAGCCAGTGTTTTCAGTGTGCCGTTAAACTACCACTTTACCCTGTTTAGATGTTCCAGATGCGCTGACTTCCTTTGCTCAATATTTATTACAGTTAACAGAATGAAATGGAGGCTGAAAGCCCATGGCTAAAACACGTCCATTATTTCTTCTGCTGTTTGCTTGCATCTCCAAGTAGCTGTATTGGAAATACTTCTGCTTTTTTTTTTAATATTAGGTTATAGGAACATATCTTTTGGACATGTTATGTCTAAACATCTTCCCTGACACCTGAACAATAACATAGTCCTGAACTGCCAGCAACGGGTCCTGAATTTATAGAAAAATATCTGTCTTGGACTTAGTACAGGATTTTCATTTGCAAAGTATTAAAACACAAAGAAACAAAGCTGTGCATATCAAGCTGGCTAGCAGCCACGGCGTAGGCAGCAGAGAATTACTTAAATTATTGGTAGTAAGAAGCAGTAACGGAAGTGAAACATGCTTTTTATAGTGAGAATTTCATAGATGGAAAAAAAAAAAAAAAGCAAAGAAATGTATTTTTGTTTATAAATGACTTGACTTGAGTTCAAGAGAAACATCATGAGCAAAGTATTGTGGCAACCTCTCTGTCACAGGCTGTTTTCATTCTTAAAGTGGCGTGGTTATTTAGAGAAATACTGAGGAAAAAGCAACAACCCACTCCAAGACAAAAGGGCTAAGTTAAGTTCTTTTGGTTTATATTTTGCTTTTATTTGGGATAAATGCAGAAATGTAAATGGCATCAGGATATTACGTAGGGCAGGATAAATTAATACTTAGTCCTAGGTTAAGGTGTTGGACAAAATAATCTCTTGCAACAAGATGTCACCATCAGGGAGTAAAGAAAGCTTTTGATCTCTGTTCAGGTGACAAATGTCACACAGGTTTTGTTTTGTTTTGTTTTGTTTTTTTGTGTGTGTGTAAATGGGAATTTCACAGTGAATGCTTTGTAATTTGGATCTAGATTCAAACATTGTTTCAGTAGGGTAAAACATGGTAATTGCTTTTGCAAAGGAGATCCTCAAAAGCTTTTCTCAGTGCTTACTGGAAGAGAAGTTCATATGCTTAAAAGCTCATCAGCATTTCTAGTTTGGGCATTTCCTTCTGCAAATGTATCTGCTTAGCTTAGAGGGAGACAGTATCATTTGTTACATTTCATCTCTTTGAACTCATGGACTGCCACAGGTCTGACAGTGTTTCTGTACATTCTGAAAGAATTCAGCTTCACCTCTGCTGTGGATCAAGCCATTGATCAAATTACAAGTTTTCTCTTCATATTCATTTTCAATGGGTATTTCCTATATTTTGGGGAAAAAAAAAAAAAAAAGAAAAAAAAAAGCCTTAGTAATAATTTTACCCAGTTGTCTGCATATTTTTGCAAAAGCAGTTCAAAGGAGTTGTGTATTAGTACTAAACCCAAGAGTAGCAAATTCCAACTTTCTTGAAGGTACAGCAATGATTAAAAGAAAATGCTGTGACATTTTATGCAGCTCTTCAAAATGAAGGGGAGAGGAATAACCTGAAGAGGAATGATTTAAAAGAAGCACAGTGACAGAGCAGTCACTAACTGCTAACAGGTGGGTGCTAACTGATAGAACGACTTCAGTAGTGTGTTCTACCTTTTTTTTTTTTTTTTCCCTGTCCTTTTGCTTTCATGACGCCAGCATCCACAGAAGATGCCAAATTACATAACTGGAAGTTGATGCATGCTGCTCAGGGGAGACATCTCCCAGCAGCCACAGGAGTATCTGCTCTGTTATCTTACAAATTCCATGAGCTGTAATAGTTTGGGTGCAAAAAGCAGCTCTCCAGCCTCCATTCAAACTGTAGTCTTTCTGCTGGGACTGACAATTGAGAAGTGTTAGATGCTCTAAGAAGTGAGCTGAGGCCACCAGTTCTTCCCATATGTCACCAAGCTGCTGCCAGAAGTTAATGACTTCTAGTCACTACTGATATGAGATTATTTTATAATGAGCATGTAGTGACAAGCTACCTATCTCATTAATCCCAGAGCTATGAAAAGCCTTTTATTTTTTTCTTTTTCTTTTTTTTTTTTTTTTTTAATTTCTCTTAGATACCTTCAACAGCCTGCTTCCAGAAGGCTGGGGGATGCTTGCTAAGCACATCCCTGTTCTGTGTGGTTATTATTATTATTTTTTAATGTTATGCTATTCATCATAGATACAAATTAGGAAATATTGTTTCTTTTGAATTCTTACTTTACATGCCTTTTGAATTCTTACTTTTAGAAAGGAACCTAAAACATTTTTTAATTGAAATTGCAGACCAAGGGGTGGTACAGAGAAACAGTTCCCAACCTTCACATGTGATCCTGGAAATTAAATCCTTGAGGAAGTCTACCTTTTCCCTGCCTGATCAGCCAACACAAGCGCAGTGTGGTCTGAAGTCATCTTAGCTTGCTTGTTGCAAAATGATAGATACATCGGTGTAGTAGTCTCATCCTGGGGCAAGTGGGACAATGGGACTCCTGGCATCATTTGGGATTGATACCTGTAGGGTATAGCTGCAGGTCAAAAATCATCAAACCTGTGAACCTGAAAGTCACAGACAGAAAAGTAAGTGGCAGGATGCAGAAATTCAGCCACTGTGATGCCAAAAACCAAAATAGATCTTTGAAGGACTGGAGCTAGTCTCAGCTGTGTTTCTAATGTTGTTCTTACTCCTTTCCCATCTTATCTTTGCTTTCATTTTGGATGTTATAGGAGCGTTTCCCTTCCTTTGTAGGAAGCCCTGGTCCAAGCCACCCGTTTGCTCTCAGAGGCAGTGCCAGTACTCTCTTTCCTCCTGAGCCTGCGGGATGGCAGTGGGATATGGATGAGGGCACTACACCCTTTTCCATCAGCTCACCATATGTATTCCTCCCATTTGATAAAATATAGCGTGAGTCTGGCCTCAAATACAAAATTATTAGCTGGCACATTTCAGGGCAGTGGTTTTTATTCTCTGTATAAATCTATGGTGTTTTTTAACTGACAAAGGCCTATAAGCTGTAGTTTGTAAAGGAGCCAGAAAAACGATGTAAACTGTGTGTCACCAAGAACTAAAGCTCATAGCCTGTATCAATTATAGGACTTTCCCTTCTTGCCCCTCCTGGGTTCTAACAAGCTCTTTTTTTAATTGCTTTATTATCCAGCTAATTGGTATTACTTTTAAATATGGTGTTAGTAGTTGAACTTCACTGCTCCCAGCCCAAATTTTTTAGCTTGTACTTGACTTCTTTAATTAGTGGGTCAAAACACAGTTCACTGGAGACTAGATTCCTACATCTATTATTACTAGCTGACGTTACTGATCATTTTAGAGAATCCTGCCTCCCTCTGCCTCCCATCTTCCTCCTTCCCTCTCTCACTCCTGCTCCCTTGTGGTCTTTCTCACTCCCTCTTTCTTACTCTTTCCATTTCCCTACTACACCATGAAAAACAGAGTCCTTAATTCCAGCTGCATCTAAAATATTTTAAAATATCATTTTAGTTTATAAACTTTTAGAGATGCATAATCACACTTAGTCTGTGGGCCTGTCTCTCATAGGCTTAATTACCTTGTACATATTTTTACTGCAGAAATGTATTGTGGAAAAGTGAGAAACATTTAACTGAAAGGTAGACTTTGACCCACAATTTATAATGTAAATGACTATTTCACTTTTATTCTTTAATTACTGTCCTGGAACACTTTTTATTATTTGCTATTTTCATGAACTAAAACTCAGTGAGGACTGTGCATGTGATTTGTGACTATAAGTGGGCTCACTTTTTTTTTTTTCCATCAGTTTCAGCTGTCTGATGCAGAAAATTCCAGATCTAGTTCTTGGAAGTGTTTTTTGTTGTTGTTGTTTTGGTTTGGTTTGGTTTTTTTGAACTCCTTAAATTTATTTCCCTCATTTTTTATATTTTTGTCAGAAAAATAGAAACAAATTTATCTGGTTATTCACACAATTTTCCTCATCTTTTTTTCTTCTTTTCCCTAGGAACCAAAATGAAGAAAGGAGATCAATATCTGAAGATTTCTCTTCTTTATTGTCAGAAAGCTGACAGGCATTTCTTATTTTTTAAAAGACAACAAGAATTCATTCATATCGGTGAGTTTAGTTCAGTCTACTTCATAACATAGGGAGCATCTAATTTATTTGTTCAGCAGAATGTATTTTGGGCATGAAATATTTTGCATGCTTAGAGATGTGATGCAAGTGACTTCTTACACATCTTTGTTGAAGAAATACTCAGGAAACACAGATTCAGATCCCATCCTATAAATCATGTGACCTTGATGTGTCAGATTAAGTTAAACCACTTGTATTAATATAAGTGCATATTTTTCTGCTTATGATTGCTCATTGCACATATTTCCAATGTAAGGGACATATAGGGAAATAGAAAGGTTAAAGAAGGACTTGTAGCATGTAAAGAGAAAACTATCTCTTTCATCTGGTATTAGTATATTCAACATTGTGTCATTAAATTAACCTTAAGGATTCATTTATAAATGCCATTATCATAAGTTTATACTTGAGGATCATAAACTGTAATCCTTGTTTGAAATTTGGCTGTACTCTATGCATATGCTTAATACGAAAGTCTCAGGAAGTAAGATTTGATTTTGTAGGTTATGGATGGATAACTAATAATAATAAAGGTTGTATATAAATATTGTAAGATCAGCATAAACATTGTAAAATATTTTTTTTGGTGATGGGCAATCTAATAGAAACTTGCAAGCAAGCTTTTTTTTTTTTTCTCTTTACAAAAAGAATAAGCTAAATTGATTGTAAATTTTGCAGGTGAGTGCATAGCACTTTCTTTAAGACTTGCAAAACTGAAAAGGCCACACTCTTCTCTTGCGTACCTGACTCCTAAGCACATACTGTTTATTACTGGAGAGCTGCAGGAGCACAGGAAAGATCGTTTGGCAGTATGTGTCACCTCACAGTGAGAAACAGACAGAATGAGGCATTCTGAGTATGACCAACTTGAAACAGCTCAGTACTATTTCCAAATATATATGCAATTGCATGCAAAGTCAGATAACATTTTATTTTATTTTATTTACTTATTTATTTTTGCTTTTGTGCAAATACTTTCTTCAGGATACCTCTACTGAGACTTGAGGTAACAAAAATCCATTTAACAAAACCTCTTAAGACCAGCCTTACTAATTAAAAATATCTGTTAACGTGAAAGTGATTCCATAATTGCATGCTATAGCATTTTATGTGCAATTTCTTTCTAGTGACACTTGTCTTTTAGTCCAGGAATTCATGACAGATGTCAGCAGGGCTGCTCTTACACTTCTTACTCATTTGAGAAAAACACATCATTATATTTCTGATACTTGCAGACAGTTTTAGAAGAACTGCAAGAAAATGCAGTATGCATTTTGGGGGAGAAATTGGCATTTGTGTTCACTTATTGTAGAGTTTTTGCTCTATTGTAGCAGTCAGATGTTACCAACATATGTATTGTCTGTTAATCAGTAATGTAACACTCTCTGCACTGATCCACCTAGTAGAAATCTTTTACTAAACAATAACTTCTGTTTCCAATAAGGATTTGAAGCAGCTTTTTTATTTCTTATTTTTTATTAAACTATTGCAGTCCTTTGCTTCTGTTTATAAACACAGGTGAGTCCCTTAAAAAATGTTACAAGTGTAAAAGCTAAATTATCTTGACATCAGATGTTCCAGGGTAGATTTCTGACTAAAACGGAGTGTAGACTGTTTTGTCAACCCTAAACTGATAACTGAATAAATGCATTAGTTTCTTGTATAGTTTCTTTATTGTTACAGGTAAGGATTTTTATTTTATTTTATTTTATTTTGTAAATTACTCGATTGAAGCCAAAGTAAATATTCCCAACCATTAAATAAGGCTAACATGCATTTTTTCTTCTTCATAAGAGCAATATTTCCAGTATATTCTCACATGATCAACTTTTGTTTATTTTTTATTAAAACACACACATACTACAAACAGGGGAAATTCCTATTGCTATTTGGGGAAAAGACAAATCTTCAAGAGTAATTTTGAATAACATTCTGTTTTGGTTGTCAGTCATTCTTTGGTTTTGCCTTTTCAGTCTGAAATGACTATGGAACCTTCTTGTTCCTTAGACAGTAGCAGATCATAAGCAACCACATTTCTTCCAGACTACGACAGCTGCCTATTTTTCATTCCTAGTTGACATTTCTGTTCCATGAAACAGCTCTTTAGTACAAAGCAACAGTCTAGCACAGTAGTGAATCTGCTTCCTAAAGAAGATAACCCTGTGGATTTCTGTTTGGCTTTTATTTTCAGCATAATCTTACTTTAAGCAAATATACAATTCACCTATACTAATGCACTGTGTATTTAAAATACTACAAATATCAGTGAACAACCTTTAATAGGACATAACAATTTTCAGTATGTGTTGGTAAAGGTTTCCCAGAAGAGACTATATTTCAACCAGAAAAGGGCAAACCTGCCAGCTTATCCTGAGATTAGAAGCACAATCAGTGGGAATGTTCCGCCAACTGCACAAAAAGATTTGAAGATAATGCTTCATCTTCAGATGAAGCATTGCCCTTTCTCCAAAGTAATATCTAATTATTAATGCTTGCCCAAGAATAGCTGTGCTGCTTTCATGCTTCTTACCTTTTTAATACTTGCATCTTTAGACTTGGATTTTAGGAAAGGGAACATTTAGCATAACCTTTAGAGCTTAATTATGGGTATAAATTAAGTAAAGAATAATGGTTTATTAACCATTATTAATAGAGCTAACAGGCTACCCTTGTCAGTGATTAATAATCTTCAAAAGATAACTTCATGCTGAAGAAACAATTGCTGAAACACCAAGTGATACCAACTTGAAAGTCGTTAGCACACATTATCACAGTGAAAATAGAATCACCAAGCTTTTATCAAGGAAAAAATTGACTCAGGATGTTAGGAAAGATACATTCACAAAGTTTGGCTTTCTCAGTATGGATTGGGAGTGTGAATGGAATGATCACATGTGGTCAAGGGAGAGAAATAATGTGTGAGCCTATCATAAACAAGCTTTAGGAAATTTTTGTCTTTGCTTAGTACTAACACACTCTGTTCTAATAAATTAAGTTATGCAATGATATTAAGATAAGCAGCATTTTAAAAATGAGAGAAGAATAAAGTCAACTAATTTCTGCATTTTTGCAGAACAACTGCAACCAAGAATGATTAGTGTTTTCAAACATGAAAGGTTTCTCTCCCTCTGTCAACCTAACACTGTAAGACCTAATTTGTGGGAGGTTGCATCGACATTTTTGTTAATGGGAAATCTTTTGTCCTGCTGTTTAGTAGGTGCAGGAGAGTAACAGATGCTTTTTCCCAACAGAATTAACATGAGGTGATGTGTTCAGGTCTTTTCAGGCATGAACAGGTGCCCTGTTTCTAAAAATTAAATTAAAAAAAAAAAAAAAAAAACAACAACAACAACAACAACAAAACAAGCAAACAAAAAAAAAGCACAACTTTCTAAAGCTTGAAGATGAGGAAATAGATGAGCCGAAACCAAAACATATATTAGATTTCAGTGTTCCTATCCTATCTTTGCTAGAACTGTAAAATTCTACTTCCTTCTATCTAGTGGTAAATAAACAGATGTTTTGAAAATTACTTAATGGATATATTCTGCTTCTGAGTTAGGCTACAGATGTGCAAGACTCCAGATGTTAGTTTAAAGCTCAGATTTGCTGTATTTTGAAGCAGGAATCCTGTTTTCTATAACAGAAGGAAAAGGAGACTTAGTTTTCCTATAAAAGGTCATGTTGTTTTTCAGAAAAATGTGTTGTGTTTCTCCTTTATTTGCATTAGCATATTAGCCCTTGAGAAGAGAAATGCAGCGATCTTCCCTTAATTGTGTAATGGCTCTTGATCCTTTTTCAGTATGATATATCATCTCCTACAGAATTGAGGAGTAGGATTGACAAAATAGCTATAACTACTATCATCTTGTTTAGGCACAGTCTGTTCCTAACTCTTCATGTAACAAGCTGTAGGGATTAGGAGTCTGCTACTCCTAGAAATAGAATTTAATAGAACCTGATTCCTTCTGGAGTTCCTGACCTGCAAAAGCTGCCAATAATAGACAAACTGATGAAGTATGGATTAGATAAGTGGACTGTGAGATGAACTGAAAAGTAGCTTAACTGGTGGGCTCAGAAGTTTTTCACAGTGGCATGAAGTCCCACTGGAGGCCAGTCACTAGTGGTGTACCCTGGGGGTTGATAATGGGGCCAATACTGCTAATGGTATTCAGTGCTAATGACTGACTAGCAACAGAGTGCACCCTCAGCAAGCATACAGAAAATGAAAGAGTAGTAGTGGTTGATATATGAGATGTCATGTGCTGCCCTTCAAAGGGACCTTGACAGGCTGAAAAGACAGGCCAGCAAACTTCTCATAAAGTTCAACAAAGCTATGTGAGAAATCCTGCATGTGGTGAAGGATAACACCATACAGTGGAGCAGGCTGGGGCCTGACTCTCTGAGAAGTGGCTGTGTAGAAAAAGCCTTGATGGTCCTGGTAGACAAAAAATGAGTAAAAATTGAACATGAGGCAGCAAAGCATCTGTGTGTCAAAGAAGGAATATTGGAGGAATATTGCCGACAGGCCAAGAGAAATGATCTTTGCACTCTACCCACTTCTGGTGAGACCACATTTACAGTAGTATGTCCAAGTATGGCCTCCCCAGTACAAGAGAAACCTGAACATATCAGAGTGATCATAGCAAAGGGTCACAAAGATTATTAAGGGAGTACATATGGAACCAAATGTACTCGTACCAGTGCTAAATGGAAAACATTGCTGCCTTTTGACAGAGACTGATCCAAGCAAATAAGAAAAGAACAGCAGAGCTTTTTTCTGTCTTTTTTCTTTTCCTTTTTTTGGTGCCAGACCTGTTCTCTAGCTGCTTCCACAATATTGACTCACTTAAATGGAGATAGAAATTAAGTTTCAAGTGCTGAACATATCCAATTAAGAGAGGTTGCTGAGTAACTCTTTTGCAAGGCTCCTAATCTGCAAACACTTTTCTAATCGATAGCTACTTCTGTTCAATATA